GGTCGTCCATCAACTTCCAGCTTGTTTTATGTAATGAAACTGACCAGCTTCTCTACTGATAACGACGCGCAGTAAAGGACGACTACAACCCATGAAGGTTTGCTGAATAGATCGACGGCGATCAAGCTCTACAAACTTTGCAAAACTTAAACTGTGCTGAGGAGGGTTATGGCAACTTTCATGGGTCAGCGGCTGGCCATGTTCTTCCGTATCAGGTGGAACTGTTACAGTGGAGAATCAATCTTTATATTAATTCAAAAATCATCAAAAACTCTAAGGACATGGGTCCAGCATTCCTCATTATAAAGGGAACAGACACATCCCTGAAGGTGTCTTGCACGCACATAGACAACCAACCTTACACAAGCTGGAGCGACTATGCTACGGAAGCATGCTGCGGTCATTTCACTCAGAAGACTTCTGTCATATCCAGTATCACTTTTTCGAGGAACTCCATGAGAACTTGGGGGAACTACTCCAAAATCCGACACGATGCTAAAACTACGTTCCTCAGTTCACCTCCGGAACTCTAGAATTCCGAACAAACGGAAGCAATGAAACAGCGTATTCATAGTACAAGATTCTTTTGACTTGAAAGGTTTGGTGAAGGCCGAGATACATGCATTTGAAATCCAGGGTCGAAAACGACAGAACTTTTCGAAACTCCTAACACATGTAGGCGTACTAAAAGTATAAGGGCACCCCTGAAATCTGGTGTTCCAAGTTCGGATAAAGGATCAATGATTGATACCTGTTTGTTATGTAGCCTGGATCAATTTTACAAAAGGGAGAATGCCCCTTTCCAAAAGTAAAGGGACACTCTGAGCAAGAAGGTCAACGAGAAATTTCCTTCTTTTCCAGCTCATTTGCTCTGATCATGCTTAGTCAAATCACACCACCTCTTCGATGTGTCCTGCACAGAGGAGCGGTGCTCAGATTACACCGCGATAATGCACCTTGAGTTTTCCAAAACATTTTGCACCATAAGTTTAGTTGCTTTCGAAAATTTAAGAATTGACTCTCACGAGATTTTGGTTGCTTACTGTCGCTGCAGTGCAACCGGTGCACCCATGTGGTAAGCGACAGATGGGATTCGAATCCGTTTGAAACGGAAAGTTTCGTCCACAAATCGATATTTTTGTGTTCAAAAATCAATTCTTTGCTTAATCCAGTAATACTGACCATGAGATTACTGGTATAGTGTGCGTCAATGAAGTACTGACCATGAAAATATTCATTTACAACAACACTCTGGAGAAGTCCGCCATTGTCTGCAAATAATTGCTCCACACTTCAAGATCCAAGCCGTCCCTCTAATGTTGGAGAAAACAATTGGTTGTTCACGAGGATGATGTCAGATCTGAGGTTGAAGCACTGATACAGGTAAGTTGATGCGGTGTATATGGAAGACCAACCCTATTCTTAGACAGTGAAATAATGTGTAGGCTGTGAAATACTGGTGGAGTCGTTTAGAAAGTATGGTGGAATTGGTCGCCATGTTACTAACACATTGTACAATAAATTCACACCAACAAGATTCTTCACAGAGGTTAGCTCGTTTTAATGTTTGCAAGCTTTTTAGTCATAGATATCACATCAAAGGAGGGTTCCATGATGGAGGCGGGAGTCGAAAAAAGGGTAATACTAGCCGATAAGCAGGACTAAAGCAACTAAATATTTTCTGCAAACCCCGAATCGTTCTGCACTCCTCTAGGAGTTCCGGGGTTTGCAGCAAATATTTAGTATGCCCCGCGCGGCATAGCAGGGCCGTACAAGCGCCGCCTCTACACCGGAGTCAACCGTCCGTTCGCACTATTCGAGCGGGGGGTTGAATTTTGGTCATGGCCTAAGAGGGGGGTAGCAATCTTGAGGACCCACGACTGAATTCAACAAATCACAATTTTGCTTACGCCTAGGCCAGAACAGGACAGGGATTACAACAGCTGTGAGCTGCGGGTCATAGCAAGATGAAATAGACTTCCAAATGCCAGCCACAGGCGCGTGCGTGGCGTATCCGAGGGCAAGACTTGCTTGTGCAGACCGCATTAGATTCGATTTATTATGCACAGAGAGACAGTTTTAGGCAAATTACGGTGTTTTCTTAAGAACAGTTGAATGCATCCCTATGAAAGGTTTGACTTCTCGGGGCTGAAATTAAAGTTCTTCGGGACCTAATTTTCTGAGGACGATTCTTCCAGACAACGGTAACACATAAGAAAGCAGAAATCTCGTAGTCTTCAAAAATGTCTTCGCCCCTCCCCAACAAGCTTTTTGAAGGAAGTTATTATTGCTGAAAGCTCAAAAACTCGAATGTACTGCTCAAAAACCTATGGGGAAACCTATTGGCGCTTGTTAGAAGGACAAATCCTGCACTTTCTTGCCATACAAAAAGTGCATCACAGAAATGAAAATGAAGTGAGTTATGGCCGCTGAAAGCCCAAAAACTCGCTTTTGCACGGAAAATGTTCGAACGGGACAATTTTTTGAAAAAGGGGTCAATCACTAAACTTTTTATACTGTTTTGTAGAGAAATATTTGAAGTTTCTGAAACTTTTTACAGCTTTCCAAAATGTCGCATACGAAAGATATTATGGGCCTTCAAAGTTGAAGGTGCGCCTTCTTAGAATTTTGGGTTTTCCACTTCTAACAGAAGTACTTTCCGGAGAGTTAGGCAATCCTTGTAGTTTTCTGAAAGCGCACCTCAGCACAGTTCAAATCTACCTCAACAATTCAAAAAAGTATGTTGCAAGAAAGTTATTCCCCTCTGAAGTATTGGGTTGACACATAGCCATTGTGGATTTTTTGCACCTTATT